CTTCACGTTTTATTTTATTGAACAGTACAATTCTTTAAAATGTTTTCTTTTATTTTCGAATATCATCAAGATACATAGAGATTTTTAAATTGTAACATATACGTAGTTTGTAGTGTTTCATGAAATATAAAATAATTTTAAAAATAGCAACTAAAGGTAAAGTAGGGCTTAAGAGAACTCGATAAAATCGTACTAGTTCCTTCAGTTTGTGATAGATGGCGTACCGGAGAGGTTTAAATCGAAGTAGAATAAAATCATTTGAAGTAAAATATAACAAGCATGGTCGTGAAACAAAATAATGGTAAGAACGGACCAAGAACGGTAAATCCTTGAATGAAGAATACAACGTAATATATTTTTTGTCGCTATATTTATGAAAACCACAGTACCAATTGAAAAGATTATTAGTTTTCGTTATACCAGAATTACAAGTCTCAACAACTTCCCAACACTTTCTTCCCATATGTTATTTCTCTTAATGTCTTCCTGTAAAATGATAGACTTTTCTCATTGTACGTAACAAGTAAAAAATTTCAGCCGTGTCTTCATTGTACCAACTATTAAGAATCCCTACAAGTATCTACTCCATATACAACAAATAACATTACAAGTACCTTTTACTGTGTCTAAATACGTCAATCAACACTCCAGCATAACAAACCATGTCAACTCAAACACACCAAATCCTACGATCATTCACTACCTACATGTTTATTAATAATATCCACAAATATTTCCAATTCCATTGACCCGAGCCTTGTATCGCGTATGATCGATAACACGGACAGGTGGAAAACAAACAAACAAGATTCTTCGGGATGGTCAAAAATGTCCTCGCATTTGTTCATTTGTTTTGATCGAAACACGAACGTGTCGCCGCTATCTGTTCCCGCGGTCAAGCGAGCTCAAGGTGCATATACACTAGCGAGGAATTTGCGAGATTTTCTTCTGATATCCGAGATTGCTGGCAGCAAGTTCAATTCAGTAGAGATAGCAATCTCAACCAATTACTAGCAGAGAAAAATATCGCAAATGATGTACTTACTAAAATACCTGTACCTTTACCATCAGCATGTATATCAAAATGGACGAGAATGTCGAGAAAAATATCTCAGAAATCCATGGGAAGAAGCTCGTATCGCGCGCCGCTTCCACTTGAATGGCCAAAGACGAGGAAACGGATCGGTTGCGCCGCGTTCTGCACGCTCTCTCTCTCCCGTGACACGGTGCCATAGTGCCGTTCATTGATTGCGCTTGTCCGGTGCCATATTCCACGCTCCGGCCCGCTGTGTTTATTGCGCAAGACCCGATCATCCGAGTTTCGCCATTTTTGTTGGCCATTCCGGCAGTCCTGACCAAAACGGCTATAACCTGTCCGCGGCTTGTCGCGACCGCCACTGGACATCGATACCCAATCCCGAGACCGATACCGAAAACCTGACGTCCGCGGTCACGTTCTCCTGTCGATCGCCGCCCCGAGATAATCCTGCCCCGACTTTTCCTCTACTTTTCTCTTTTTCTCTCATCCGCACGCAAAGTTGTATTTTTATTCGCATGTAATGTAACTGTATTTGGTCGTTCCAGAAACTCGCCGGATGCGGTATTGTGCTGTGTCGATAACACGTGAGTATTATTACTTTTTCTTGCATACTTCTCTGATGCCTCCAGTCGGTGGTCCGACGAGTACGAACTTGGAAATTTGGTCGGGAACGCTTTTATTTATTTTCAACGTTCACTTTGTATTTCTTGTTTATTGGTTTTTTAACTTGTTTGTGAATATTTTGAATGCAAATAAACGGGAAGGTTGATGGAATACTTTGACAAATTGTTTATGGTCCCGTTAATATATATTGTATACTAAGTGGGGAAAAGAGTATTTACACGGAAGCAAGGATATAAAAATGAATGATGTTTACATTTTTAATTCTACTTCGACATGTGTATTTTTGAAAAATTATGGGCTTACGACGATTAATGATAATACATATTAATAAACAGATATTAATTACACGAATAATACATATACTCGATACATGTACACATCCACTCGAGAAATAAATATGTAAGATCGACTTTAATTAATTAACACGAATAGCATTGTTATTTAAGTTTATAGCAGTCGCGTAATAGAAAGTGGTCATATAGATTATTTTCGATATAAACAGAGTACAGCACAACGGGCATATTTATAGCATGTGCCTCGAGCAATCTAAATGATCGAATTGCAACTCTTTACTTATTCACGGTGATGAGGTAAATTACTATTTTTTTAGCATGTGACCGTTATTGTTTCAAATTCGAAATACTTAGTAACATACAGTTCCCACTCTAAATAAATAGAATTTCAATGTTTGTTTCCTATTCAATTTAATGTTCACGTGAAGCAACATAGTAAAGTAAATGTTCGTCCTCGCGTCAAAAAGAACAGGAAGATAAGAAAAGAAAATTGTTTCGTGATGGAATACCAGACGCGCTGAAATTTCTAGCACGCACGATTTCTGTGGTTCTATAGGCCGCTGTTCATCTCTCCGTACCATTCTATTTTTGGACCGTGCATAGGTACGGAGACGTTTAAGCGATTTCACAGTAATAGAAGCCCGGCAGACAGATGCAATTGCGAAAATCGTGGCGACTGTACAGCACTAAGGATATGCCGATTGCGTGAACCTCTAATCAACTAAACCAGTTATTTCCAATGACTAAATAAACAAAAAAAGATAAGATCAGAACAATTAAAGCGTAGTCTTTGCCATTAGAATATCTATATTTTCGGAAATTATATTAATTAATCCGATTTTGACACTTTAATCACATTTACATCAAACGAATGAGCATGAACCTCCATGCATTTATATTTTCCGAAATTATATTGATTACTCCGATTTTGAAAACTGCTCCGATTTAGAAATTTCAATTACATATACGTAATATATAATTTATATACACAGTTAGTATGTAATTAATATACAAACATATATTTTATGAATGAAAAACCATTACAAACGACGTTAAAGTATTTTTTATACCTATGAAATTACGTTTGATGTTTTTTAATTTATAATGTTTTAAATGATATTAATATTACAGGCCAAAATAGGTGAAGATATGTCTCCATAAGAGGAAAAGTGTTTACAAGTCGAAAGAAGTGAAATCCCCAACAGACGACAAAATGTCAAGACGCTCGAGAAACGTAAAACAGGAGGAGGAAGAAGCATCCACATCGTTCGGTCTTCCAACCGAGAATCCCGGCGATGATGATCCAAATGTGGCTGAGGTGCGAGATCTTACAACCATTTATCAAAAACGATCGATCCTACAGATCATGTTTGAGGCGTTTCAAATTAAGTTCACCAATACATTGAAGGACTATACCAAAAACTTGTCAGTTTAATATTTAATATTATTACAAGTTTAACTATTAACTTGTTAATTACATTTTATTTAAATACTTGAACGAATTCTTGGACGTTCAAGTGAATGCGGCTCGTTAACACTGTTGTTACCGCTGTTTTATATACACCTATTTTTACCAAGAGGTAATTCAATAAAATGTATTAAATTATCTAATACAATCTAATAAATAATTTAACATGGGTAAGAAAATCATATACCGCTAAAGTAATTTTATGATCATTATATAAAAGTTGAGAAGTGGAATGAGGAGAAATGATTAATCTTGGAGGATAATTTTAAGTTAAAATCTTAAAAGATGTCTTCTGATATCTTTACTAAAAAAGCTGTTTAAAAAGGAACGTTTATTTCGGTACCTATGTTTAATTAAATTTATTATTATAGGTCGTATTATCGAACAAAGGTGGGCCAAAATTAATTCACCGTGGCTACATGTACACGCTGCACAAGAGGCAACCGTATAACATCCGATGGAGATGCGTCGGCAGAACTATGCACTGCAGGGGTAGCCTTATCACGACAACGACCTGCACCAAGCCGAGAGTGCGTATGGAGCATAACCACAAACCAGATTTTGCGGCCGCGCAGGTTGCCAGGAAGCGATACTTAGCTCTTGGCAAGCCTTGCGTGTTAACAAGTGAGTGTTGTTAATTTTCGTTCAACGCAAACTTAACTCGCACCGCAGCTATTCAGCGAAATCGTCTTCACAGGCATTGAGGGAAATAAGAATCCCATTAACGTGCCGATGATTCTCAACGATGAACTCTCATCAGAGCAAAAGGGGAAGCGACCGAAACGTTCAGCGGCTAGAAAAGGTAAGTGTAACTTTACACGGCTCGGATAGCTTAACAATTATCTTAATTACCTTCATCATTGTCATATTATTTTACTAATAAGTATACAACACATAATATGTAAATAATAGATTCTCCAAAGGATACACTGATAGAATTAGATGTTGATAAGATTCGAATAAAATTAAGAAAAATAAATGTACACGAATAACGCAGGATATTAATCCATGGCGTAAAATGACACTATTACATCGTTTATGTTGTGGAAGAAAAACTTTCAGGGATAAAAATAAATATAATGCTAGATAAGCCGGATTGGGGGATCCTTTGTTGTCTCGGTCAAATAGGAAATATATGTTATTTTATTTTCCACGTTAAAATTTGATTTCTCCACAAATTAAGTCCTATATACGTACAAGAATATTATTACCTATGCTATAACGTTACTCATACTTAGAACAACGGAAGAATGCATAATCGGGTTACTATTCATTAAATAATTACCATTTAAAATTAGTCAAATACCGTTGACAACGAATTAACACTGAAATAGAAACTGTACTTGCATCGTAACTGTACCAAACTTCCAGTGACACTAAAAATGATCTCTAACGTCACAGAATGCTTTCTATTATCCAATACATACATAGAAACTCTCAAAAAAGAAGTAAACAATAGAATATAAAACGAAATCTCAGTGAAACCGGTCGTTGAAACGCAATTTTTCAATTTTCCCGGCAATATATTTCAATGACGGACGGTCGTTACGCGATTGGCGTAACGTTTCATAATAAAGCGACACGGCGTGTTGCGTCGTGCCCGACGGGATCGACACGCGTCGCTTCCGCTCGCGGCAACCGGGAAGCACACGGAAACCGATCGATAAGAGGCGAAATTAGCCCATCGTAGAAGTCGCGGGATTAACGAGCCCCGCGCGACGACGACATACGCGTGGTGCTTGTATCGTTGTTCGTAATCCTCGTTCCGGCGTCCAACATGGCGGGCGTCTTAAAGATGCGCGCCGAGAGAAGACGAAGACGAAGAAGAAGGAAGGAAGGAAGGAAGGAAGGAAAAGAGAGGAGGGAAAAAAGGCGGCAGGAAAGGGGAGCCAGGAGAAGAGCGGTTCCCGATCGATGAGAATTCGCGCGGCGAGCCGGAGAAGCGAGTCAAACGTGATCAGGTCGGTTAGTAATTCCTTAGCGAAGAGAGACCCGGGAACGCGCACGCGATAGCAACACGAAACACGGGCACGGATAATATGCGTCGACGACCGGCGGCGCCGTCGCACATGCGCGTCCTGACGCGCCCCTGTTCGTCCACCGATTTCGATTTTAGTCACTCCCGGGTTCGGCTTCGGGGAAAATCGTTCCGCTCTTCTCTAGCAAGGTCCGGCCGAAAACGCGTCGCGGAAAAAACGCGGATTTCGGAAACTCGTCGACGACCTTTTCCCTTCGATCGGACTTCGAGGACACACACCACGCTACTGTGCGTCTTCTCAGCGAGTAGCGTATCCTCGTCGTTGTCGTTGTAGTTGTCGTTGTCGTTGTCGTTGTAGTTGTCGTTGTTATTCGGCGATCGTTTTGTTCGGTTCGTCGGCGGAAGATAAAATTTTGATAAACACCGAACAGCCATAGAGAGCACGAGAAACGCGGAAACAGAGAGGGAGGGAGAGAAAGAGAGAACGGAACAATATAAGAGAGCGAGCCGATACACACGATATTATACTACTACCTTGTGCCGTCCCGTGTCCGCTCGATACCACGCACCGAACAGAAAAGCGGATCTGATACCGGTAATCGTGGTACGTTCGTACAGGAGAAGATAGCCAGCCGCACTGTAGAGAACGCGATAGGGACACCACGCAGCAGAGAGTGTTCGGTTTTGTGTCGGCGGCTCGGTCGGGGAGAAACGAACGAACGAACGAAACGAAACGAACGAACCGAAGAGAGACAGAGAAAGAAAGATAGATAGAGTCGAGAGACGAGGAGGAGAGGAGAGTAGAGAGAGGAAAGGAGATCGGTGCCAGTTTTTTCGTAACGTGAAATTCGGAACGGAACCGACACCGAACAACCGTGGCGAATATCGTTCGCGTCGAGGCCCGATCAATTTTGTCTCGTGGTTCTCTCCCGTGGAACGAACGGTTCTCCCTACGCGCCAACCTCACGGGACACGAGACGAAATCGAACCGGTTCGCGGCC